TTTTTTTTTAATGTGTGTCTTCAAATCGCATGTCTCGAATGGTTCGGTGTGGTGGGAAGTTTTTTTCTTTTTTATTTTCTATCTCCTCAATTTCTTTTTTATTTTTTTTTGTGTGTCTCTTCAATTCGTTTGTCACGAATGTTTTCGTGTGCTTCTCTGGCGGGACGTCAAACATGGGTTTTCAAATTGTTGATGTAAGCTGCTTAACGTTAGTTAACGACGAAACACAAAAATAGAGAGAGATGAACATGGATTGCGTGCATGCATAGGAGGCAATCATCTGCAATCATCTTTAAATCATTCCACAGAAGAGACGAGAACAGCGGACACATCACATAAAAAAAAGAGTGCGCTACAAGTGCTATGAACTTCTCGCGTGGCGAACTGCGAATATAAAAACAGAATACAGGACGACATTGAATGATCTCGTCGTCGACTCCAACGACCGACACATTGAACACCTGCACTAAGCGCAACACACAACATTGAAAACAATCAACCTGTCTTCGTGGCAGAGCCGACGCACTAAACAAGTGCGCAACCGACGACGATTCTGCGGAATCCCTCTCGCTGACACACTAAACAGGTGCGCACTTTGTGACGGCGCAACCACAGTGAAGCCCATCACGACCAGCCACTTGTACATGCGCCCGCGTTCACACAAGCAGCCAAACCTCCCCCTCCCCCTCCCCCCCCCCTACGCGTCATCTTTCCCCTCGTTGTTGTTGTCATCATCGGGGGGGCCCGGACCCAACCAATCTAGCTTCTTCGCATCCTCTGGCCTCGTTATGCTTGCGTCGTGCCTGAAACCAATGCCGCAGGGTGCCCATTGAGGGATGTAGTCGGGGTACTGTCCGAACGTAGCGTTCGCCTTCCCGAGCCTCTCTGTGACGACTTTCGCGGCGCGGACGACGGATCGTCGATGATCGAAGGAGCGATGCATGGCCACGACGAGTGTGGGCTTCGCCACGAGGTTCACGAAGTAGAAAGCCTCGTAGTGGCTGCGCGGATCGTCTCCCACCATGCGCATTATCCACGTGCACGCCGCCAACAACAGCCCGAAGCAGTCAACCACCCGACAAAGACGATCGTGCGAGATGAACTCGCCGTCGATGAGCGCCCCCATTTGCACCGCCGCGCGGAATGCATGCGCGACGCAGATGACAGTGGACTCCTGGTGCGCCGCCATGTCGTCGTCGTCCGGTCTGTCCTGGATGTTGTCGCCGGCGAACCACAGTGGCAGGTCCATGGACAAATCTATCGTGTGCGCGCAAACCGCCGGACTGTCGACGTCGCACCACTCCTCGCCGCACCACATAGCACGCGCAATGTCCGTCGCAAAGGATTCTTGTGAGTACTGGAAAGCCACATGGTATCCCCTTGGGCGGTTCCCGGACTTGAAAACCCAACCGTGCAAGATGCGAAGAGCTACGTTCTCCACTGCCGCCGCACGGGAGATCGCTTGCTGCATCTGTGATTGGTCGACGATCCTGCCTACGCGCATGCTGGATTTGGGCAGTACGACGCTCCGAGGGACGGCAGGCGGTAGAAGTCCGCTGGCGATGGCGACGAAGTACTCTCTCGTATCGTGGACGATGTTGTACAGTCTTCGCCCCTCCCCCGTCGTCCAGAAAGCTTTGTCATCGACCGAAAGGACGACACGATCGATGAGGTCTTTTGTCATCACACTCCTACGTACCCGGCTTGAACCGGGCTCGCCGGCCTCCCGATCGCCTTTCTTCTCGCCACGCGCCTCCTCTCTCACCATCGCCACAACTGCTGCCTCCTCCCTCGCCGTCGCAACAGCGGCCACAGTGCCTGAACCACCCGCCCCCGCAGCACCTGCCTCCTCGGCCCCAACTGCGCGCGCGTCTGCCACGACTTCCCCCCCGCCGCCGCATTGGACGGACCCTCCATCACCACCCTCGTTGCACTAACGTGGCTGAGACGGCGTGGCGGGCAGCCTACCCGAGACCGGCCTTTCGTTTGCAGCAGCGTGTGCCGTCACCGCCAGCGGTGGGGTCGCCGTTGTCGCCGTTGTACGAATGCGAATGCGACGTCTCTCCAAGGGCTCGTCATCATCGCCGCCAAGATCGACGACGAGAGCCTTCTCTGTCCGCGTTTCGCGGCCACGCAGCTGCTGCACCTCGGGTGGAGGGGTCAGCATCCTCTTCGAAGCGGTGTGATCAGAAGAGTGCTGTCGACCACTCTCGCGTACTTCAGACCTGGCTGCCTCTGCCTGCTCCTCCTCCGTCGTGAACTCTTCGTTGTAGTCCCCTTCTGCTGCTGCCGCCCAACCTTGCGCTCCACGGCGAGGCACCCTTGCTGACGCATCTTCCGAACGCACCCTCTTCCCTTTCGGGGCCTGCCACCGACCTCTTCCCTGCCCTTGGCTGTCGTCAGGGACTACGTCGCGCTTCTTCCCATGGGCGTTCCCTCGCGCAGACATGTTTCGTGACGACCTCTGCAGGCGAGCTTGGCAGTGTGATCGGATGAGGGGGAAGTGTGACCGACTTGGCGAGAAATATCTCCCGGAAATATGTCTCCCGTGAAATATGTCTCCCGTGCAGCTGTGGCGTGACGACGACGACTTGCACGTGGTAGACAGAAGATCTGTCCTCTGCGGGAAGAAAACGTGACGACGCCCCCCGCAACGTAGAAGATCTGTCCTCCGCGGGAAGAAGACGACGACGTGTACGTGGTAGACAGAAGGACGAAGACCCCGGCGAGAGTACTCCGCGGCGAAAAGACTGGCGGCGAGAAGAATAGAAGAGCGACGATCACAGCGATCCGCGGCGAGATGATTGACGGGCGACGTCGGCGTGGTGGACAGAAGGATGCGCGCATTCCGAAGATCGTCCACGAGACGAGATGGCTAGAATGGCGTCGGCGGTGGTCGTCCAAGGAACTGAAGATGTCCGCGCGGAGCGAGCGACATTTAGCCGCGGTGAGCAGGCTTGTACCACTTCCACGTCGTTGCGGGCGGTTTGCAGCAGGCGCGGCGGGCTTCTGTACTGGAGACACCTTCGTGTGGACGACATACAGGCGGGTTGAAATGCGCAGGACTTAAGTAGTCTCTCGCAGATGGACCTCCCGTGACGTTGCTTCTCTATGGCGGGAAACGACATCGTGGACGGTGGCACGTGCGACCGCCCTGCCTACACTGGCATGTCATTTCGATCCTCCCGAAGGCGTGAAAAGACCCTTCGACGTCCCTGGCGACGCGCGTCAATTCACTCGCCAGGGACCGAACCCCTGGCCACCCCATCGCGTCTTCCCCTAGC